AAGCATCTCATGACTTTTTCTTCCTCCTCCAGAAAAATCTCTGCTTCACAAACCTCCCTGAAAGCATCATCCACCTTAGGAATCAGACCTTTCACACGGTTAAAAAAAAGCTTCAGCATCATGAGAGGAGTAGGAGGAGTACAACTGAAAGATTGCTTTTGTAATCTCTTTGCATTCTTTGTCATTAATTATCAGAGTTTTCACATTATTACGTTCTTGCCTTCTTTTTTTTAACCTGCAGAAATAAGCTGAACTTCTTTCTCTCTCCTCCACCCACTTTGCTCTAGATCTTATAAATGCACCAGTGGCCTTAGCAGTATAAATATTATCCAGGGAGGATTGTAAAAGGATAAGCTTTTGCTTCTCACCCTCATTGATTACAGGTGTGTGACGGATCGAGGTCATTCCGCTGACAATTTCCAACTCTTTTTGTTTATTTACCCTGCTTATTCGTTTGCCATTAATAATTGAAATCTGACGAATCTTAAATTTTAGAAATTCCCACTTGTCTCTATGAGTAATGAAATGCAGATCATTATTAATCTTGTTGATTGCAGTAACAATCTCTTGACAGTATTGTTCATCTCTTAAAAGGCTAGAATTGAATTTCCAATAACCTTTATGTCTAGAACAAGCATTATGGGGTAGAATAGTCAGGGTAACCATGCAGTGATCTGTTAATGGTGCAGCAGAAATGTTAACTTTGGAAACAAAATGCCTATTTTATGACACCAAGCAAAAATCCAATCTAGATTTAGCACTGCCGTCAGGTTTAAACCATGTAAATGCTCGTACATTAGAATGTTCTGGACGCCACTTATATGTTAGATTGAACGTTCTACAGACGTTTAGGGGCAGTGGATTGTAATGGTGGTTCTGAAACGTTGATGGAAATCTGTCTAGCCATTCATTTTCCACCATATTTTAATCTCCACCAATTATAACGTTCTGTGTAGGATATCTGACTCAATTCTTTAGGTGAATTTGAAAGCTCCGAGATTAAAAGCTTGTTTTGTGTAGTAGAATTAAATCCATACACATTCCCCAGGATCACAAAATTCTCATCAATTCGGAATAAACAAATAATCCAATGGCCAGAGTTATCTTTCTTTGTAACTAACAACTTTCCAAGAAAACTGTTCCGGGATATCGCAACGCCTGCTGATCTGTTGCTGCCAGGACTAAAGTAGATTCTGTCGCCGCACTGAGTCGACCAGAACTTTTCATCTGTTTCAGTTGAGTTTGTTTCTTGA